TGGTTTTAAATGCTGCATTACAGTAAAGTTATGTCATTTTCTGAACTTACCAGACTGTTCCCCACTTCGCCATTATATCCACATTGTGTAAATAGTTTTTAAAAGCCACAGTAGTCAATCAATATCGAGGTATTTGTTCAAAAATATTGTTATATCTCATTGTCTTCATATTGCCCAGCCCTAGTTTAGTTTATTTTATTTGATAGAGACATCACAGCGACATTAAAATTGTAGTGTTAGTAGTAATCTCCTGTAAACACCTGTCCTCAGGAGGCTTTTTAAAAGTTAAAATAGTAAAAAGAAAATACATCCACATATACCAGTTCTCATTCAAGCACACTGGAGGCTGAAACAAATATTAGCCAGCAATTTTGTCTCTGTGTTCAACTTAGAAAAGGTGCATTTTTATACAAAGAAGCTTAAAAGAAAGAGCAGATGAAAAGTGGAACCATTAAAATCAAACGTCAACACCTAATTTAACATGGTTTTAATGAGCTCCTTATGAAAAAAGTAACAAATCATCTGAAAATGACAAAAAAAAAAAAAAAACTTCTCCCTATGTCAACCTGACTTAATTTACACAACTGGAGACAGATGTTTTTAAATACTTTTAATACTTTACTGCTTTTTAAATACTTGAATGACCGTGCTGACCGTGCCACTCCTGTAATTTTATTTCTTGTTCTTAACTAAGGTTTTTGTATCGAGTGTTAGTAAGGTTGTTGTTAACAGCAAGTTTTTTGATACATATAGATGTTTTTTTTTTTTTTAATATATACATATATTGTTCTTTTCTATTGCACTGCTGCGGGCTGGGATAACAGTATTTCATCTTTATTATATATGCAGAAACATAAGAAAAATGACAAACTGAATCTTGATCTTTTGCCACAAGGGGGCGCACAGCAGCATGGCCAGTAATGCTTGTATTCAGTACTTGAGAAACAACTGTTCCCAGGGATTAAGGAGGAGTAATCCACACCAAACTCTCAAATGTATGCGAAGGTTTATAGCAACACTTCATGGGAAAATACTGAGGATACCGAGACATGTATTTGAACAAATGAGCAAAATTAAAATTCTACTGCTGACTTTTGAATGAACTTAAAAACTCTTTCTGTCCCCTGACAGAGTCACGTGTTTTGTCCAGAAAGGATGACATTATAATATCCAGCTATTGAAGACAAAAATATCTCACAAGTAAAAGAAGAAATCACTGATTTTATTTAATGAGGAAAGAACACAGAAATTTCACATTTGTTGCATTTATTTTGTCGCACAGTAACAAGGCTGGGTGTCAGTAATGAATACCTTTAAAGTACAGACCAAGCAGCAACCGTAGGGACTGAAAAATGAAGCCAACACACAAGTGCCAAACAAAAACTGCAGGACAGGCAGGCTGTCTGCCAGTAGTGTCCTCGGCTCTCAGTCAGATCCACCCCTCGCTCTTCCACAGCTCCAGCCTCTCGCCCAAATATGGTCACTTCTGGCTTCAAAAAACCAAGATGGCGATGACCGAATTGCCGAACTCAAGGCGTCGAAATGGGAGTCTACAAACTAATGAGACATCACTCATTAGTTTGTAGACTCCCATGTAGACCCCATAGCTGCACTTGATCCTCTTTGCGTCGGGAGTCTGATTCTGTACCATCCCGACTCCCCTCCAGAAATTAGCAAACTTTCTGTTGCTGCCATCTCCGGAGCCGCTCTTCTTCTTCCTGTTCAACATCTGCCCAGTTAGCATGACCTAGCACAGCAGCAGTGTCCAACATCCAACAGCAAGCTGTAAAACTGTCCCAACAAACTTACACAGACACCGAAATGGCTTGACGCTGTTGTTAACCATTAATAAGTGTTAGTTAATGTTAGCTGTATGATGCTAACAGTTAGCCCCATCACTGTGTATGTGCATCTGGGCGGACTCTCACAACTGTCCCCGGCGTGGAGCTTACAGTCCCATGACAGCATCTCACGTTACAACACATAGAGTCTGTGGTGTGATGAAGTTGAGCACGGTGTATTTGATGGGGTTGGCAATTCAGCGTACCGAAATGCTACCAAAACATTTGAAAGTATCGCTACACTACATGCCACCGTATTCATATTATGGTTATCGAATTAAGTACTCTACTGGTATCTGTACCCCTTTAAGGGCACCGGTATTGGTACTAGAATCGTAATATTTTAAACAACACCCAGCCCTACGCAGTAACAATTATGACTCAGGTTGCCTTCTTTGAAATCAGTTGTGCGGATGTTTAGTGGTGGCCAGTCTGTGAGTTCAGCGGTCTTCACTTTGCGTCCTCACTAATCGCAGCCTGTCCTCTCCAACGGCTTCCTACACTGACAGAGGTTCAGTTCTGGTTTGAACCTGTTTCAGGGTTCAAGCCTCGCTCGGCCATCAGGGTACAATGCAAGTTGCCTTCCGGAGCGCCAGGTAGCCGGTAACAACATCAGTGGGGAGGAGACGGATGTAGGAGAACTCCTCGCTGGACGTGAAGCGTAGCTTTGTCTGGGGGTCTGTGTAGTTTGCCTGAGGAAAGACGAGAGAGGGTATTCAGTGTGTCCTTTATTCTGCCCAAGAAAGTTATTTCGTTGATTGTACAATGAAAATTTAGCAACTCACAGGGAGTCCAGAGATGTCAGAGTATTTCTTGGTTGGCTTTAGAGAAGGAGGAGTGTCAATGTTGTAGTCTGTGAACACAGGAAGGAAATTGAGCTCCTGATTAAAGCTGTACCATGATGGCCCTTTCTTCTAAAAGTGACACAAACTTATCACTGCAGTCTTATATTTAATGCAATATTACACAGCTTTGAAGTACAGTGTACTGCAAAGAACTTTCAAAGCCTACTTTTGCCCCAAACATTAAACCACATTAACAAAAAATAATTTTAAATGCATTTTAGTAAGATATATAGGAGATACAGTGCCCTCCAAAAGTATTGGAACAGTGAGTCCAATTCGTTTA